CCTTAGTTTATCTCCCTAAAGCATTTAGTCAATTTCTGTTATATCTCTAAAAGGTTTAGATCTGGCTTAGAGATTTTAATGGTTTCTCTTCATTGAGGGAGAAACTTTTAAAACCTATGTGAGCGAGTGCCTTGAGGACTTAAGTCAGGCATTGTTACTGCCTAATCATAGCAGTAGCACGATCTATACCATCAGCTCATTTGATCATGCACAAAATGCATCCAGGTTAAAGTCCGAAATTCATTTTTCTCCGCATTAAAAAAAGCATACTAAATTAAAATGTAATGGTTTATCTTTTTTGTTTTGTGTTCTGAGAAATAAACGTCATTAAATCCTTTTTTTTATCAATTATCTGTGCCATTCATGTCTCAGAAATTTGTTCCTTTGCGTCTTCTGGTGTAGGTACCAGGTCTGCATGGACCCTACGCATGACAGTGGCATTGCACTATAATTGGCTGAATGTTTCGTTGATGGCGTAGAACTTAGTGGTTGGTCTGGACGATGATTATAAAAAAACAAAACAAGATGCAGTGTCCATATTTTGAGTCATGAGCATCTGTAGCCGGGGTTTCCGCTGGTCATTAAAAATTATTAAATTATAATTTTTTAGAGTAAGGACTTAATTGGCATTTAAATGTATTAAATATGAATATCATGGCATTTAAAGTGCTTTATTAAAAATAAAAACATTTTTAAATACAATTTCTCCAGATATATCAGCTATAACTGGTTCCGCGTACTTGCACGCAACTGCTTCCGGTTGATCGTAATGCTGTATGTTTGGAAAAGAAGCTGTAGGCGTAAAAAAATCTAGAGAATTGGACAACGCAAATTTCAACAAAAGTGGCTGGAAAACGAGGAATTCGTGGCCTAGCTGCAGCCTGTTGACAGTTAAGATGGGAGAGGATTTTGCTGTGTTTTTTATTGAGTCATGGGTACTTGTTGACATTAGAATTCTTTCTAAGAGCTAAAACAGGCTGGGCTCTTTTAGCTCTGTTAGTTGCCCAAATTAAGCTACACCACTTAACTTCGTGTCAACAATTGTCCATTTTGGATAAGTAGAGTAACTCTTTTGTCTAAAATCTCAAAAGTCATTTTCAAAAAGAAGTTCCATTCGTCTTCCCAATCCCCTAGATGTTATAAAAGAAAGTAATTACACTTTTTGTGTCACCATGTTAAATGGCAGAGCTCAGTCTGTCCTAGAGCACAGTACTTGGCTTCAAGATTGAGAATGATTTTATATTTTTACTTCTGGCATGTTCAGGTCATCAAAGGAAATTATACACGATGGCAAATATAGGTAAAGAGTTGAGACCCCAAAAGAGATTTGAATCTTATGAAACGAACCCAACTCAGTTTCTTATTGTGGCGTTGTCAGGTTACGTCATCAGCAGGAGAATGTCCCTCAGCAGTTTTGGTTCCTTGATCAGCAGCAAAAAATTTTAACTTTGGATTTATACACAACTGTTGTCCTTTTGAGTTCTGTGTTTGCATTTTGTTGTACCTTTATGGTTCATAGTGCATGTGCTTTAGTGCACTGCAGCAAGTGATCAAATAAATCAGTCTATAGTTTTAAGATGTATCTATAAGATGCAGCATATTAGCTTGAGGGCTTTAGTTTGACATTCCTGAATCTGAATAATTAATTGATCAGCAGAATTTGGTCGAGATAACATGTTAAACATCATGCAGCTTAGTTTTGTTTTTAATGGTAAATTTTAACTTGAAAAAATCATGAAGTCTCAAGAGAAATTAAATGTTATGACCAGTGTTGGGACTAATGTGTTAAGTAATGGGTTACCTTGCAATAACTACTAAAGTAACTAGTTTGTAAAAGGCAGTAAAGCAGATTTGTTATCCATCACTGTATACAACTGAGGACTTCAGTTTCCTGAAACAAGCGCAGTTCTGTATTAACACAGTAAAGACAATGAGCCACTGATTCAATGATGGCATTTCTACAGAACAAGCGATTCCTGGAGGCTAAATATTGCTGTGATTTGCCCTTAACAGCTGGAACAAATACTTCAGTTTATACCAATATATCACCTAAATCAAGCATAGCCTGTTGTAAAGTTATTTTCTAAGTCTAATGTTAAACCCTATTTTAAATCAACTGTTGCAAAAATAGACCAATACGTATTTATAAGCTAACCAGTCTAACCTTGGTTTGTATGGAATGGTCTTATTTAGACATCTGTTAACAAAACTACCAAAACAATACAGCTGTAGGAATTGAAATTTTTTTTCCCATCCAGGGAAGACGTTTCATGATGAAACGTCTTCATATTTGGAAAAAAAAATGTCAAGGGTTTGTTTTTAACTTTTTGGAGTAACTGAGCTGGATGTCTGAGAATCTTCAACAGCTTGCAATTCATGTTTTTTTTTTTTCTAATCTGAACACATTTAATCGATTTTGAAATATTTTTCATTTAAATATAGTTGGTGTTTTTTTAAGAATAAGTAAATGAACTAGTAGGAGTAATCTGAATGCATTCCATGTTTTTGATATCTGTCTTTGTCTCTTGCAGCACAACGTCTGCTGTCACAGTCAAGTCAGCAATCAGGAGACTGAAGGAACTCAAGGACCTGTAAACCAGTGCACAGCTGGTGGATTTGGGACTTTTGTTTTCTATTTCAGCCCAACTGGACATCAATAAATAAAAAGTCTGGATTGGAGAGTCATGTGTCTTTGTATATTTGTGTTCAAGCTGGCAAAGTGGGCTTCATTCCAAGCGCTGCCTCACTTAGAAAGAAGAGCTGCCACCACCCACCGAGCAGAGTTAGTTTGGAAGGACGAGATGGTTTACGTCCAAACAAGGTCTAGATTTTGTTGAAAGGCGAAAAGCTGTAAATTTCAGATATTTTCAACAACGGTGGGACAAAACCAGACTGACCAAACAGCCCAATTTTCAACAACTATTTCTGGACCTTATTAAGACTATGAGGGACCAGATTTATCCTTAAAAAAACGTCTGAATGACGTCTGGTGTTTGGGGAGGTAACCTTGAGCTTGATCATCAATCTATCTAAACATAAAGGTTTTAAAGTAGAACAGTAATTCACACCACATCAGTTTAACTATCCATAGATTTTAGTGTTTGATTTGATTCGGGGGTAAGGATATGAAATTCAGTAGAATTTGTTAATTTAAAATTTCACCGGAGAAGCTTTGATTTGATGGCGAAAGAAACCCATTGGACACCTAGTAAAGGGAATTATGTTTCAGTATGAGAGGATGGTTTTAGCGATTGGACAGTGGACAAAATCATTTTTCTGGAGAGGATATGTTATACTAAAGGTGATGGGTGCAAGCTTTCAAATGACGTGGAACCAACAGAGAAATTGTGCTAAAAGTTTTCTTAGAAAAGAATCAGGTTTTAATTGAGGTTTAATATTGGTACTAAAGCTATTAATGCATAGGAGATACGTAACTAAAGAATTAATCCAGAACAATAGAAATTGAGCTTGATAAAGTGGGATTTGTTAGTGACCATGCAATTAACATGTTTATATACCAGAACTGTCTAACAGGCTATTTTGCCATGTGCCTAGATTAAGCACTGTTTGAGACCTACAAAAGTTTTCTGATTAAGGTTAAAATTGCTAAACTACAGTTTTTCAGGCAATGTAAAAACTATACAATCAATATAAACAAATAAGGAAACTACATGTAAATGGTTCATATTGATGGCAAAAGAAACAGATGGTCCCAGGATTGGATTAGGAAGGTTCTTGCTGTAATGACAGATGTGATTATGAACCATATCTTTGTTTTTCAATTTGATTCAAAAATCACAGATGTTCAGACTGTCTGAGGAAGAGTTCCAGTCCCACGCAGCTCTAATAGCTGAAAACACACTCTGACAAAAGCACTTTTCTGGAAAGGGACAATACAATCTTTTCAATTCCCTCCTGTTGTTAAACCACATGTGGTGAAGAAGACAGGTTTGAGAAGCCCTGCTTGAATCTCTTAGATCAGGCATCCCCAAACTCGGTCCTCGAGGGCCGCTGTCCTGTAGAGAAACATCTAAAACCTGCAGGACGGCGGCCCTCGAGGACCGAGTTTGGGGATGCCTGTCTTAGATGGTTCCATAAATCCCTGGAGGAGTAGCAAAATGATTTCAGCTTCTCATGTTTCTGCAATGTATTTGCCAATAAATGAAAGATCAGCTGCAGGGTTGAGTGATTCTGGTGTGAAAAAGGAAGCAGCTTTCAGCTGCCCACTGGTCCTTAAAGAATGGGTGAAATGCAAAGGTTGTGCAGTGACTACAAAGGTGATGATGTTGGAGTAAATAAACAGCTATTCTCAGGAAGTCACTATTGCCTATAAAACATTGGTTAATTACTTTTATAACACATTTGTAATAACATTGTGCTATTATATCCAATGCTTGAAAGCAGAGGTCGGTTAACCTGCCACCAGAGTTAACACTGATTAATTTAAAATAAAAGATCTGTCTCTGCATGAATATCTTCGCAATACCACAGCTTTAATCAGTATTAGGGACAGGCTTGCTGTCCATTTCTAAACAAAACCCGCAATTAAAAGTCAGAGTTAACTCTTAGTTAAAATCTTTTATGTATTTAGAATATTTCAAAATTAAACCAATATTTTCTGTTTGTCCCAAATGAGAAAATTGCTCTGATTTTATTCACACAGTTCAGTTACTGGTTGCAAAACGAAATACAGGTCCTTCTCAAAATATTAGCATATTGTGATAAATTTCATTATTTTCCATAATGTAATGATAAAACTTGAACATTCATATATTTTGGGAATTAAAAGTTCCCAAAAGGAATTTTGGGTTTTCATCAGCTGTATGCCAAAATCATCCATATTAACACAATAAAAGACCTGAAATATTTCAGTTAGTGTGCAATTAATCTAAAATATATGAATGTTCAAGTTTTATCATTAGATTGTGGAAAATAATGAACTTCATTTTGAGAAGAGCCTTTAAATGGTGTGTGTGTGCGTGATATGTCCTGAAGAGGGCGCTGTCGGTCCCTGCTCCATCTGACTGACTCCTGGTGGAATCAGCATGGCGGCCTCCAGTGTGTTCCGACCGGGCTTGCTGAACCACAGAGTAGCGATAGTGACCGGCGGAGGCACCGGGATCGGTAAAGCCATCTCTTCAGAGCTGCTGGAACTGGGTGAGACTGGTTCTGTTCGGATAAAGTGGACTTTCTTACTACTAAAACCTTAAACAGATTCCCTCATGTCGGGCTATGAACTCCAGCACAGATAGCCTGCATGTTTAGGTGATCATTGACAATATTGACATTCGTTAACAACCAAACTGAGCATGCGCAGTGCTTAACAGTCTGCAGTAGTGGAAGGACTTGTTGGCTCTGTTTGAAAATATGGGCTGCATCCTCCAAGGACGCGGTCTACCTAGACTGGATCCTTCGAAAAGTCCGTGAAAATAAGGAGACAGGAAGAGTTTTGGCTGTGAATTCAAACACTCTGGTAGGAGATTGTTTGGAAGGGGTGATGGAAAGTTTTTAAACATATTCAATGGACATGAATAAGACAAGTAGTAATAAAAGAGGAACATCCTTGTGGTTTCTACTCTATGAATCCAGGATAACAAAGTTGTTCTGCACATCCTCTATGTATGTGGTTGGTCTTTTCTTTTTGGTTGCCGATCTTTTGAAAAATAAAATGCAATGGTTCTTTTTCTTTTTGTGGAGCTCCTATGGGTTTGAGAGGCAAACCTGAAAGCTTTAAGAATTGAAACATTTGTGTTGGTTTAATTACTCCTAAATGCCAATGGGAGATTATTAAACTAGGCAGAGCAATAATTATTTAACTTGTGAGCAAAACATGAACTAAAACTGGGACTAAAAAAAGCAACAGTTAAAGAGAAAACAAACCACTGGATGTGATCCTTTTTAATGTGAGAAATTGGTAATATGAAGTGAGAGTGTGTGAAGACACCGAGATGGGTGAGTCTCACTCCCAAAGGGTGAGAGTTGCCAGCCCTGTTATTCTGACCTAATGCTGCTTCTCTGTCTGCAGGCTGCAGTGTGGTGATCTCCAGCAGGAAGGCAGACAGGCTGGAGGCAGCAGCCCAGGAGATGAGACAGAGGATCCCCACCAACAGCCCTGCAAGTGTCACCCCAGTGCCCTGCAACATCCGCAGCGAGGATGAAGTGAGAGAACATGTTCAGGAAGAATCTGCTCAGTCCATGAGGGCGCGCTTTGGTTGGACTGAGATATCTTTATGCTCTCTGTGGCAGGTGAAGGCTCTTGTGTCATCGGTGCTGAAGCAGTATGGCAGGATAGACTATCTGGTGAACAATGGAGGGGGTCAGTTCAGCAGCCCAGTGGAGAACATGACCTCCAAAGGCTGGAAAGCTGTGATAGACACCAACCTGACTGGTACCTTTTACTGCTGCAAGGAGGGTGAGTCAGACAGACACTAACAATAAATAATTAAACAGTTTAAATTTCTAATGCTATGGCTATAAATGGTTAAGATTTCTAAAAAGCATAATTTATATTGAGATCCCCTATAGCAGGGGTCTTCAACGTTTTCCAGGCCAAGGACCCCCAGACTGATGGTGAGATTGGAGCAGGGACCCCCTAATTATATATATTGTATGAAATTGTGTTATATCAAACTGGTTCTATAGCCACTCTATTACAGATGGAGTAATGTAACGAAAGTAATTTCTCCCTGGGATTATTAAAGTATTTCTCATTCTGATTCCTGGTTGATGGGACAGGTGTTGTGAATGAAACGGTGCCCAGCTTGAAAGAGCTCCTGTGTGCCGCTGAATGTGAGCATTGATGACCGAAAGACATCTGCCTCCATTTATCTGCTTACTACAGTGTGTTGAATTAATGTTAATGTGGATTTAAAGACATTTTAATTAGTGGAAAAAATTGCAGGGGGGAATATAAAAAAAAAAAAAAAAAAAAGAGTATAATCAACCAAAACTTTCGTGACCCCCATGCAGTACTTCCATGGACCCCCTGTTGAAGACCTCTGCCCTGGAGCACTGCCATTAGGTAGTGCCCTAACGTATTTGCTCTAAAACCATCTTTGTGCAACATTTTTTGTGGGAGTAGTGGCCTAGTGGTTAGGGCATTTCATTCAGGTCCCAGAGGTTTTGAGTTCAAGCCCCACTCCCACAGACTGCCACTCTGGGGTTAACGCCCTTAACCCCACACTGCTTCCCAGGCGCTGCACAGTGGCAGCCCACTGCTCCCCAAGTGGAGTATTCCTATCCTGCTGGCAGCTTCTCTGTCCAAGTCTGTGTCCAAGTCCATAAATAGCTTCTCTGTCCCCTGCTGGGGAAAAATAGAAATCATTTCAGCATGATGGAGTCACCACCGTGTTTTACAGTTGTGTTTTTTTTACGGTGACATGCAGTGTTAGGTTACTGCCACCTGTAGAATTTTACAGCTTGACCAGAAATGTTAAAATGTTGGTTAAACTAAATTAATCCCAGTCTTCTCATGTTTCTCTGTCACACCAAGATGAGAAATTTATAAATGTCTAGTGTTTACGTTTTTCATCTCAGTCTGGATCTTTACAGCTCCTCCAGAGATACTTTGCACTAACTGTTACTTATGGATATTCTAGTAAAAGCAATCTAATTGAAATTTGTTCCTTCACTTTTCAGGTTTTTACGATTACAAAATTTGCTCATTAATAATTTTCTGTCACCTTGTCCAATAAACACTACAGCGTGCCACGTGAAGCCCCAATAAAATAAAGGGAAAAGACGGGAAAAAATGTGGAAAAGTTCCAGCTGTATGAATGACTGCATAAGGCACTGAGTTTTCTGCATAGCTTAGCACCTGTCCCATTATTCAGTCTACACAGCCTGGATGAAGCAGCATGGAGGTGTGATCGTCAACATCATCGCGGACATGTGGAAAGGATTCCCTGGAATGGGGTAAAGATGCGTTCCATTACCAACTGATAAACAATCATAAACTTCACATTACATCCTGGTGTTTCCTGTTACTTCCAGCCACACAGGTGCAGCGAGGGCAGCAGTGGATAACCTAACCAAGACCCTGGCCATTGAATGGGCTTCATCAGGAGTCAGAGTCAACGCTGTTGCTCCCGTATGTAAAGTTATGAGCTGATCAGTGTTGAGTTTTTGAAGCTGTGCTTTTTATTTTTTATTGTTTTTTTTTTGTTTGTTTTTTTAAGGGGACAATCTTCTCCAAAACTGCAATGGAGAACTATAAGGAGTTTGGACCTCATCTCTTTAAGATGTCTATTCCATTTAGCCCTGCTAAGAGACTAGGAGTGCCAGAGGAGGTGTGTGCAACCCCAACACACACACACAAACACACACACCGTGTAGTCTGCAGATGATATCTATCAAAAATATGGTTGGCATGCATAAATTAACCTATATAACCACTCTGGAGAGGAAAAAATTTATCATTCAGGTTTTTCAGTTTAGAACATCTGTCATGACTTGTGTTTTTAGTTAAAAAATATACTGCAAAAAAAAAAATTGTCTGCAAAGATATGAAATTATGAGAGGATCTTTAAAGATTTTTTAATAAGGAAGTTTATTCTTTTCACCAAGCAAAAATGAAAAATTGGTCTGTTTTTCTGAATTGGCAAGATCATTTTTACCAAAAAAAATTAAAAACATTCAGTTTTTCTTGTGCTGCTGGGATTTCATCATGAACGTCCTGTTACTGTACTAAGAAATATAAGCATTTCCTTTAGATCAGCTTCAAAGTTTCCCATTTGTTAAGTTTAATTAATTTTTCCTTCTCTTTTAGGATTGACGCTTTGGGAAATTCTCTTCTCTCGTAGTTATGTACTAGATGCGATCACTATTAGTTTTTTCGACTTTGAGAACACACCTGTGCGCTGGGTGCTACTCATGGCACATTCATTTAGACAAACAGAACATTTTTATTTATGTGCTTATTTTACATTATCTTGTTGCCTCAGAAAAAAAAAAAATTAGTTTTTTTTTCTAAGTGTCGGCCTAGTGGTTAGGGCATAGGGATTGGAATCCTGAGGTTCTGAGTTTGAGCCCCACTTCCACAAACTGAACAATGGCAGCCCAGTGGCAGCCCACTGCTCCCCCACTGTATGAAGATCAGGTAATCAGGAAGGCTGAGTCCATTTTGGATAATTATACCCATCCCCTACATAAAGAATTCCAGTTTCTACCCTCTGGTTCCCGTTTTAAATACCCACCAGTTCTGACCAACAGATACAAACACTCCTTTATTCCCTTTGCTGTTCAGCTGCTAATCTCTACCAGGAAAAGCAGATAGCCATATGTTGCATGCATATAGGCCTATGCTCTCATTCATCCCCTGCACTGCACATATTTATTTACTTTTTATTTTTCTCTCTCTTTTAGCCACCTTTTTAAATATTTTATGTGTTTCTTGTGTGCGATGTAAGTGCACATTTTTTTTTTATCTGTGATTAGTGAAATGTGAACATGTGTGTGAAAGGTGTACTACTACTGCACAGAAATTGCCCATACTGGGACAAATAAAAGGAACTGAACTGAACTGAACTGAACTGAACTGAACTGGGAGGGTGAAAATGCAGAGGCAAATTTCTCCAACCAATAAACCAATAAAGTTCAATTATTTTTATATCTACATTGTGTTTGTTTATTTCTATAAAAAATATTATTATTCAAATTAACTGGATTTTATTTATTGATTTTGGTAAAAAACAACAACATCTGGTTCATTCAGAAAAACAGACCGAGTCTTTTTTTTTCAGGTGAATGCAATATGCTTCTGTACATAAGGACCCATTTTTCCATCTCTCAGATTTCTTCCGCTGTTTGTTTCCTGCTGTCTCCTGGAGCCTCCTACATCTCTGGAGCCACACTGAAAGTGGATGCAGGACAGAGTCTGTACCATTCCCTGTGGGAGATACCTGGTATGTTGCCATTTATTACCACAGCCTTACTTTACCCTTTAACGTTCTTAGGTTGCTTTCAACAACATGCTGTATTTTATAGTAAGCTGGATATTTGTGTGTGTTTTTGTGCAGACCACAGCTCATGGCCTGAAGCTCCAGACGGTGAAAATCTGGACGCTCTGAAGGAACTGCTCAAGCCACAAAGCAAACTTTAATAAATTCCTTAACATGCATGACAACAAATGGGCAGATAGCAAAGCTATACGACCTATAGAATGTGATTTATTGTATATTAAAAAAACAACTGTACAAATTTGTATATCATTAGTAGGGAGTTAGAGAGATATAAATCAAAGATTTATAATGTACTTAATCTATAAAATATTAACCTGTTTTTAATTTCAATAGTAACACCGTACTTTTTTGCTAAAACAAAAATAGTGCCTTAAAAACTGGAAACCACAGATTAAAAGTGTTTTACAGTATAGACAGTCTGTTTGTTTTAATCTCAATTTCTATATTTTTAAGGTCTCAGTAAGTATAGAAAGAGAAAACAGAGACAGAGAAGATTTGCTGTATACGTATGTTTTTAATTTCTAAGTCATATCCATGGTAGTCCTTGTCAGGGTTGCAGACACAGACACACAAAGACACACAATCATGCACACGCACGCATTCACACCCAAGGACAATTTAGAGAAGCCAATCAACCTAACAGTCATGTTTTTGGGCTGCGGGAGGAAGCCGGAGTACTCAGAGAGAACCCATTCATGCATGGAGAGAACATGCAAACTCCATGGTGTGGGCCAGGAATCGAACACAGAACCTTCTTGCTGCAAGGCAACAGTGCTACCCCACTATAGTACTTTGCAACTTTTGATTAAGTCAAAGTAATGGGCACTTGTAAATCATTGTACAGTGAAGTTTGGAGGTGGGACCATGTTGGTGTGGGGCTGTTTTACAGCATATGGTCCTGGGAAACTTCAAATAATTGAAGGAAGCATAGAAAAATGTACCGAAAAATTCTTGATAAAAGTATGCTGCCATCTACCAGCATGATGAAGATGAAACGTGGGTGGACATTTCAGCAAGACAATGACCGCAAACACAGATTCAAGGAAATTGTCAATTTGGTTCAGAGAAAGAAAATAAAGATGCTAGAATGGCCCAGCCAATCAGTTGATTTGACCCAACAGAAAGTCTATGGAAAGAACTTAATTTCAGAGTTAATAGAAGAGGCCCACGAAACCTTCAAGATTGGAAGACTGACTGTGAGCCAAAATCCCACCTGAGCAATGCATGCAACTTATTTCTGAATACAGGAGGGGTATTGAAGCTGTCATTGCCATCAAAGGCTTTTGTAGAAAGTATTAAATCAATATCAGAAATGTGATCAATATTTTTTTCCCTGTGTCATTTCACTTTAATACACATAATTTATGGATATATCTTTTGTTTGATTTCTTTTCTATGTGTGGAATGGCACCTCTAGAAATATATTTACTGAGGAAAAATGGGTGCATGTTCAATAATTTTACGTGCCATATAAGGGTAAATGCTTACTTTTCAATTAGCCACAGTTTACCCTGCTTCGGGGAAAGATAGAATGGCACTTTCCTCTCAGTAAAATATATCTGAGAGGTGATCAAAATATCTGTGGAGCAAACCTGGAGTGTTTTACCCCATAATGACAGGATGGACAATAACATAGCTTACCGTAAACCTATAAAACCTTGAAATGGTTTTGAGCAAAATATCACAACAAAAGTGGTCACACAAATGTAGACCTTAAAAAGTAGTGACTTTTAATGAGTGTATTGTAGTACTAATACAAACGTCCTATTTGTGCAATTCAGCACAAACTACAAGGAGATTATTTCTCATTTTATAAAAAGAAGAAATATCTCAAACTACCGTAGGTGACGAATGTTTCATGTTACAGAGGCTGATAGTAACTTCACTGTAGAAAAAAGACAACACACCAATAAATTAACGAATATATTCAAATACTCTCGCGCTTTTGGAAGATGTTTTTCTTTATTTAATTTGTCCATAACGCGGTGCCGTAAGTTTGCCGTCAAGTGCTGCGGATTGTCGCAAGTCCCCACTTCAGCAGCAGAGGTCACAACAATTCGTCCAGGTACACTGATTTGTCTTTGTAAAACCTAGCATTTGTGTCCAGACTGTTATTGTTATGTCAGGTTTTGTAGCGATATGTTGTATCATAATTGAATCCTTGAGCAGAAGCTCGTCTCAGAGCGAATGTTTTCTTTATCTGGTTTAAACTAATGTAGCTTAGCTTGCTAGCTGCGAAAACACCGACTACTACCACATTTAGTAATGTAACATGTCGAGTTTTCATGATATCAAAAGTAACACATTTACTATAAAATGTCTTACTTTTTTTGTTTTTCTAGTCCTCTTTAAAATTCGCTATGTCTTTGAGATATTATGGAAATATTCCTTTAATAGCTACGCTGGTTGACTTGTTTATGGATCCTATATCATTATTTCGTTCTTTCATTTTACAACAATTATTACTGTTGCTGCTTGCTGTCTGTGTTTTTATCTGAACCCTAACAGGTTTCCTGTAGAGCTTTTTTGTTTTCTAAAATCCAACCAAATCTTATCATTAACCAATGGCTTGTGTTCTTAATGATGTATTCTTCTTTTTGTAGATTCTACTCCAAACAAAATATATTCCTTCATTTTTTTTAGCAATTATTTTTGGACAGTTTAACCTCATTTAACGGTTTAACTTTCAACCAGTCACTCAATTAATTGTATCTTTAAGGCATTTTAAAAACTCAAGTACTGTACATAAGAACAAAAACAGGTTAAAATGCATTTAGATTAAAACTGACGGAAAAATCAGGTTCAAAATAGGAATGGAGTAGTAGTTTCTATAAGAGCTTAAAAAAATAAAATAAATAAAAATAAGACAAACTTGTTGTGATTCAGTTTTAGCTTTCATGCATCGTTTCATTGGAACATATTTGACCATTTGCTGGGACTCTTCTGTCCTTGTGTTTGGTGTCCATTTTAATGACTGCCTTGCTAAAATTGAAGACAGCATGGGATGATTAAAAGGAAGAAGGGATTGGTTGAACTGTGGGTTATGATTTTCTCTATTCTAATTGTCCTAATATCACGCTTCCTACCGTTCACTGTTTTTATTTAAACTTTGATGTTGGCAACTGTTTCCTGTCTATCATCATGGTTTGACGTCGTTTCCTTCTGTATCTATTGCCTGTGCTATAAATCACTTTTTTTTTTCAAATAATATTGCAAAATATGTTGAAATGCATGTTTTAATGACCTATAATTATGACTTACCCAAAACATGAAAAAAGCCAGAAGCCAAAAAACTTTTTTTTTCATAGATACAGTCTTGGAAGGAAGTTGTCACCGGTAGAGTTTGTAATGACCATGTGTGGCATCTTTCATCTTGTGGACTGATTTATTTATTTTTTTAAGATAAACTCACAGAGTGGGAAGAACAAATTTAGACCCCTATTTGGTCACACAGTTGAACTGTGCTATTATAGTTTCAGTATGGTAATGGTATTGCCCCTGTAAAGCCAGGGTTTGTAAATTTTTAAAATGTAAAGTGTGATGAAAGATCACAGCTGCACAGCCTGGAACCTAAAATCTGTTATGCTTTTTGTGTATCGCTGCTGATGAGATCCAAGTTCCAACTGTAGATGCTTGAAGTTTTTATTTTTAAAGTTTAAAACATGGAATTCGATTTTACAGTTTTAAATTGTGACTGCATTTATTTGGTTTCAAATTCATGTTTGACTTTTAAAAGAGATTTACAACTAAAATCTGTTCGACATGATGAGGATTGAGAAATATTAAATGTTTTTGTTTTTTTTTAGTATGGGAGGTGATCACGGCCCTAGCAAGCTGTCCATGCCAGACTGGGGGCAGTGGAAGGTGCAAGGAACCCCGCTGGAGTTCACACAGCAGCGACTGGCAGCCAGGGGGCTCAAAGACCCCTGGGCACGGTCAGTATATTCACACATATGACAGCTATACCACAGATGCAATTAGATATTTAAATTAGTCAAAATTTAACTATTTAAAGACAACGTGCAACATAAAAACCTGCAATAGCCTGATCTTACAAATATGTACATCTTGAAAAAATACTTTCAGGTTTGATTGACTGAACAGAAATTAAGTTGAGCTGTTTTGACATTTGCTAATTTACATTTGATTTATTATTTTCTTGTTGTTCTTTAGGTTTTGAGTACAAATTTAGATGAATATTTCAGCTACACCCTTTTGCAATAGTTTGGAGAGCTTTTGCTTAAAGAGAAACCTTCAGTGTTTTAAGTCAACCATGACACAGTAAAGGCAATCAACTAGAGAAAGTAAATGACCACAAAGATCTCAAAGTCTCCAAAGTTGCCAGGAAGCCTTCAGCAGCACTGTAGGACCTGCAGGACTGTCCAATAAGGATCCACTCTGTTCTTTATCAGACATTTTGCATTGATCAGATGTAGGGTTGTAAAAAGTATCGAAACTCAAAAAAGTATCGATACTTAAACGTTGTATCCGGATACAATACTCGTTTTTAAAAGTATCGATACAGTGCCACCACCAGTGGCACCTAAGCAGTCATTCATCTAAAGTGCAGAATAGAGGAAAATGCACTTTCTGATCACTGTGTGATTGAATAATTCTGTGCACTTTTTAGTTTCAGACTTTTTTTTTGTAAGAGGTGCAGCTGCTGAGAAATACTTTTGTTTCTTAACTGGTTTGGCTAGTGTCATTATGTGTGCAAAGCATAGCCAAGGAAGGAACAATTAATTTTAATTTTATAAGTTTTTTATCAAGCTTGCTTAATATTGTGCACAGCATACAACCTTTATTGTGTTTACTTATTGTATTTTATTTATTAATGAAAATATTTCTGTAGAATTTTGGAGTCTTTGTTTTTATCCTTGTGGTATCGAAAATGGTATCGAGTATCCAATATTTTCCTTAGTATCGGTATCGAGTTGAAAAGTTTAGTATCGTGACAACTCTAATCAGATGTAACAAAATGAGGTCGCTTTTGGTGCAAAACCCTCTGATGTCTGTTGGGAAGATTTTTTTTTTCTCAACTGTCCTTACAAAAGTCCAGAACTACATCTTACAGATTATATTTTGGGTTTGTCCAGATTCAGGAGGAACCACGTCTGCGTGGGCAGCGCTCTTTGAAGGATGCAGTCCCTGAAAATATCTAAGACCTAAAAAGAGGCTTTGGAGAAGAGATGTTCTCACAGTGATTAATTTGGAGAACTTTTGCAAGGCAAAGGGGCCAAATATCGACCAATCATGATCAGAGGAGGAGACTGAATGAGAACATGCTTTCTGTAAAAATATAAATTTTTAGGTAGCCCACAATTATGAAATCATTTCGTTGCAGCTTATATATATTTTTTTTTTACAAGATGTCCCATTGTTTGTGGACAAAGTTTATATCAAACTTAGAATGTTATGCTTTTGATACTACTTTGTTTGGGTCAGCAGCACTGTGTTTATAAATGTCTGTCTCTTTGCTTTCTATCTGCCTGCAGCAACGAGGCGTGGAGGTATGCAGGCGGCTTCGCCCGTGCGGTGACCCTATCGGATGTTCTGCTCAGAGGTTTTAAGTGGGGCTTTGCTGCCTTTACTGTTGCCCTGGCAATAGAGTACACCATGTTTCCTCCAAAGAAAGGAGATCACTGATTGTTCGGCATCATGTGTAATTTGATCTTATGATATTCTGTATTTTGTTGGTTTGATTAAATGTATTTTGATCACCTCATGGATGTTTGGTTTTTAATTCTTTATTGTTTTAACATGGAGGAAAAAAAAGGAGGGTTGACGGATCCTTTTACTCTTGCTTCTTCTTCCTGCCCAGTTTCCGGAAGCAGAGTTTCAGACATTTAAATATCAGTGTTACAGTAACCAGCAGCACAGTGGCTAGCAGTGCTACAATGTCCAGGCAGTAGTACTGGAACCAGTTAAGGTCATGAACAGCAGCTTTGAGGTGTTTCGCTCCTTTATGTTGCATCACATATTCTGTCCAGTAAACTGAAAGATCCAGAGGGTCCATGGGGCGATCGTTATGAAGGGCTGAAAGCTGCCTGATGTTCTCTTTGTACCTGAACGCACGGATAAAAATAAAAAATAAAAAAAAGGTTGAACTGAAGGACATCAAGTTCACATTCTGAATCCAGCGGCTGAAATTAAGACCTTCCGGGTGTTTAACCTCCTACCTGGGGTTATTGATGACCTCATTCAGCCCCTGCAGCAGGCTCTCAGTGGTGATGGAGGTTATATCCAGCACCACTCCTGCTCCCCTGCTGGCTATCCTCTGTGCGTTGTCGGGCTGCTCTGCATTCACCGGCACCATCAACATGGGAACAGCGTGACATAAACCCTCAAACGCGCCGTGTGAGCCAGCGTGAGTGATGAAAGCTCGAACCCCAGGATGAGCTGATAAAAGTTAAACATATTTTAGTGCTCCAAACTGTCTTCAGTCATCTTTCTTGATACTTTGAAGCATTTTACCTACCTAACAGGTCGTTCTGAGGTACCCATTTCATCATCTTCACGTTTTCTGGGATCTTGTCAGGAACTTTACCAGTGTATCTCCATATCACCTGTCAGAGGGGTGGAAAATCTTAAAGTTGCATGAGCCATTTTAAAAAAAGTATTCACATCCACTAAAACGTTATGTAAAGTGGTGCATAATTCTGATTGAAAGGAAAATGGGTAATTTGAACAGGTTTAGTCATTCAGCCCTCCTGAAGCCACGTGTAGCAAGGCTACCAATGATAGGAGTAAAAGCTGTTAGTCTTTGGATGTAAAAATGAATCGATTGATTGGGAGAGAATATAGAGAATATATTTTAATCCTATCAAAGAGTCTCAGATTAAGCTGAGTCATTTGGTCAGATTTAACCCCTCCCTGTTCAGTGTGTTTATAGGTTCAGGGTCATGCTGGTGGAAGGTGAGCCTTTGCCCCAGTCTAAGGTCTTTTGCAACTTCAAATAGATTCTCTTCCAGCATATCAATCATTAAAGTTTTTTTTTTTTTTTATCACCTTACAAACTGAGGGAACAAAGTGCTGTAAAGGTCCATAGAGATACAAGGAAAAGAGATGCAACATTTAAACTAATAGAATAATGGAAACTAAAAAGAAAATAGAGCTACTGATAAAACTATCCGGATACCTTTGTTCAATTGGTGTTAAATGCAAATTAAAAAGATATAAAATTCTACATCTATAATATGCTAAAAGTGAAAAGACCAACAAAGCAGAACCCATGTAGTCTGACCAGCTTTAGAGTTTGCAGCTAATCACCAGGATCCTGCCTTTCCTACCATGTTTAAGAGTCTTTTGTTCTGGCTGTCAGGTGTTATTTTTTTTACTCTGCATTTTACATGTAAGCAGGAAAGCTTGGCTTTGTTATCTGACCGAGAATGGCTAATTATTAAATCACACAGAGATGAACTTGATTGGTTTAATGCAAAAGGTCAGTGTTTGATGCTGAGTATAAGAAGCAAAGTGAGATAAAGATAATGTTTCCTTTGTTCATATTCAGAGCTATGCACTGCTTTGAGTTAACCGAGCATAAAACAATTAAAATGTAACAAAACATTGAAAAAGGTTTGAGAAGCAGGAATGCTTTTCCACTATTAGAGACCCTCTACCTTCTGTGGAATCTGCCTGAAGGCTTCTAGGAAGGTAGACGTGATGTATTCTGGCAGTTCTGAAAGCATGGAGCCCAGAGTAAACACTACAAACCCATGCTCACCTGAGATCCACGTCACCAAATCCTGAAATCATGCAGACACAGCTTGATCACATTTTCACATAGTTTCCTCCACTCATTTAGTTTCATTCAGTGATGTGAGTTTTGCATTCGAAATATATAATTAAAAAAATATCTCACTTCAGGAAGAGGATTCCTCAATTTGCAATTTATTCCACCAACTAGAATAGTATTTGGCATGAGAGGGCGGGGAGAGTCCAGCGTGAAGTCAATCCTGCAAAAAGATAATCGCAAAAGATTTATCTTGCATATTGTGCATGAATACTTAATACACATTTCTTCATTTTGAAGGTATGCATGACAATTGGGATGGATCACCTTATTATTTACACAAACCTAAAGTCAGGTATGTGGTAATCTGAGGGTCAGCAGGGAATTTTAAAGAAAGCTAAATGGAACCATCTTGTCTAGTTAGATGCTTTAACTGTTATTTCAATCTGAAAAACTCACACAGAGAGAAAAGATAATTAGAAGAATTTATTGATAAGAAAGTATAGTCTTTGGCGCTCAGACCTCGGCAGGAACATTCATGCTGAATTATGCTGTAACATGCATGAGTAGATGAATGTGAATAGGGATGTTCCCCCCGGGCCTGAAACTGGTGGTGGTTTAATCCGAGCTGGTTGACAAGGTGATCTGCTGGGCAGAATTGTGGGACTAGAAGACTGAGGGAGCTGACGCCGGGGCTTCACTCAGACTCGGGATATAGAGGTCCTGCTCGGTGATGCAGGTACCGTGAAGTGTCCATGATGAGCAAGCATGAAGCGACAGTGGAGAGGAAAAACTCCCTTTTGGGAAGAAACCTCTGGCAGAACCGGGCTCAACATGGTGGTCTTCTGCCGGACCAATGCGATGAGACGAGGGATGGTGACAACTGGGATTAATACTCTCTGATGAGGTTGAGGTGAAGTCGTGTCATGGAGGACGATTCAGCTGCGATGGCGGAGAAGGGGATGGAGGTGGGTGAATTGTCGTCTGGATCGAAATCCGACATGCGATTGCAGGATAGCGGCTGTGGTGAGATTTGAGGGAGTTTATAAAGTGGAAGCAGGACGCTGATTGGGCTTCGTGGTGGAGTAGTTCAAAGCTGATTGGCTCGCTTCGGAGACGGATCGGCTTCTGATGATGTGAGGTAAGTCAGAGTTTCTTCAATTGAACTTTCGCTAGAGCTTCATTTCAATCTGAAAAACTCACACAGAGAGAAAAGATAATTAGAAGAATTTATTGATAAGAAAGTATAGTCTTTGGCGCTCAGACCTCGGCAGGAACATTCATGCTGAATTATGCTTTAACATGCATGAGTAGATGAATGTGAATAGGGATGTTCCCCCAAAAAGTCGAGGTCGAGGCGGGAGAGTCCGTATGCTCGTAGGGCATACGCTAGGGACAGAATAAAGAATGCGTAATGAAATGCTGAGAAGGTTTGCAAACAACTTACCGAGCCAGGTTGTTGATGAGGATGGCGACCACGGTTGACGCCGAGAACTTACCGATGATGATTTACCCATGATGATGATGATGATGATGAACCCATGATGATGATGATGATGATGAACCCATGATGATGATGATGAACCCATGATGATGAGCCCATGATGATGATGAACCCATGATGAACCCATGATGAACCCATGATGAACCCATGATGAACCCATGATGATGATGATGATGAACCCATGATGAACCCATGATGATGATGATGATGATGATGATGAACCCATGATGAACCCATGATGAACCCATGATGATGATGAACCCATGATGAACCCATGATGATGAACCCATGATGAACCCATGATGAACCCATGATGATGATGATGATGATGATGATGATGAACCCATGATGAACCCATGATGAACCCATGATGATGATGATGATGATGATGAACCCATGATGAACCCATGATGATGATGATGAACCCATGATGATGATGATGATGATGATGATGATGATGAACCCATGATGAACCCATGATGATGATGATGATGATGATGAACCCATGATGAACCCATGATGAACCCATGATGATGATGATCCCATGATGAACCCATGATGAACCCATGATGATGATGATGATGAACCCATGATGATGATGATGATGATGATGATGAACCCATGATGATGATGATGATGATGATGATGATGATGATGATGAACCCATGATGATGATGATGATGATGATGATGATGAACCCATGATGATGATGAACCCATGATGATGATGATGATGATGAACCCATGATGATGATGATGATGATGATGAACCCATGATGAACCCATGATGATGATGATGATGATGAACCCATGATGAACCCATGATGAACCCATGATGATGATGATCCCATGATGAACCCATGATGATGATGATGATAATGATGAACCCATGATGAACCCATGATGATGATGATGATGATGATGATGAACCCATGATGAACCCATGATGAACCCATGATGATGATGATCCCATGATGATGATGATGATGATGAACCCATGATGATGATGATGATGATGATGAACCCATGATGAACCCATGATGATGATGATGATGATGAACCCATGATGAACCCATGATGATGATGATGATGATGAACCCATGATGAACCCATGATGATGATGATGATGATGAACCCATGATGATGATGATGAACCCATGATGATGATGATGAACCCATGATGAACCCATGATGATGATGATGATGAACTCATGATGAACCCATGATGAAGATGATGATGATGATGATGAACCCATGATGATGATGATGATGATGATGAACCCATGATGAACCCATGATGATGATGAACCCATGATGATGATGATGATGATGATGAACCCATGATGAACCCATGATGATGATGATGATGATGATGAACCCATGATGAACCCATGATGATGATGATGATGATAATGAACCCATGATGAACCCATGATGATGATGATGATGATGATGATGAACCCATGATGAACCCATGATGAACCCATGATGAACCCATGATGATGATGATGATGATGATGAACCCATGATGATGATGATGATGATGAACCCATGATGATGATGATGATGATGATGAACCCATGATGAACCCATGATGATGATGATGATGATGAACCCATGATGAACCCATGATGATGATGATGATGATGAACCCATGATGAACCCATGATGATGATGATGATGATGATGAACCCATGATGAACCCATGATGAACCCATGATGAAGATGATGATGAAGATGATGATGATGAACCCATGATGAACCCATGATGATGATGATGATGATGATGAACCCATGATGATGATGAACCCATGATGAACCCATGATGATGATGAACCCATGATGAACCCATGATGATGATGATGATGATGATGATCCCATGATGATGATGATCCCATGATGATGATGATGATCCCATGATGGTGATGATGATGATGATCCCATGATGATGATGACGATGATGATCCCCATGACGATGATGATCCCATGATGATGATGACGATGGTGCATCCCATTATGATGACGATGATAATGAATCTTGCGGATGAGTCTGATAATGAATCTTGCGGATGAGTCCATATAGAACATATAACATGACGGGATACAGACATGACGAGACGCAGACATGGTGCATATTTATGCATTGGAAATGCAAGCAAAATGGCGTAGGGATGCATGACGAGACACGACGAGACACAGATAGGGAGCATGTGATGCATGGGGAATGAATCTTGCGGATGAGTCTGATAATGAATCTTGCGGATGAGTCTGATAATGAATCTTGCAGATGAGTCCATATAGAACATATAACATGACGGGATACAGACATGACGAGACGCAGACATGGTGCATATTGATGCATTGGAAATGCAAGCAAAATGGCGTAGGGATGCATGACGAGACACGACGAGACACAGATAGGGAGCATGTGATGCATGGGGAATGAATCTTGCGGATGAGTCTGATAATGAATCTTGCGGATGAGTCTGATAATGAATCTTGCGGATGAGTCCATATAGAACATATAACATGACGGGATACAGACATGACGAGACGCAGACATGGTGCATATTGATGCATTGAAAATGCAAGCAAAATGGCGTAAGGGATGCATGACGGGACACGACGAGACACAGATAGGGAGCATGTGATGCATGGGGAATGAATCTTGCGGATGAGTCTGATAATGAATCTTGCGGATGAGTCTGATAATGAATCTTGCGGATGAGTCTGATAATGAATCTTGCGGATGAGTCTGATAATGAATCTTGCGGATGATTCTTGCGGATGGTTACATATATGAAGAATTGATGCATTAGGGAATGCATGCTAAATGGTGTCAAGGATGCATGACGAGACACAAACCAGACGTGACGTGACACACAGGAGAATGCATATAATGCCTGTCATAAAGGTGAGATTGCATGAATGCGAGCCAGAATGAAGATAGCATGAATAGCAAGGAGACAGCATGGAAGACTGCATGAAGCAGGGAATAATGAAGAAAACTGATAAGGAGTGGGAGTAGAAAATGAGTTAGAGGATAGTCGTGATTAGGTCAGAAAATTATGAAAATGAGTTGAACCACCACCAGTACTTGTAATAGAGTTACCTAGAGCAGAGAGAGCACTGAGCTGAGAGAATTGATGAGAGTTCTGGGCGGATGAATGAGGTATAGGCTTGTGAGCCATCGGCCCAGAGCTGAGGGAAGCCTCAGAACCCCGCGAGTAGCTGCAATGCAGCTGCTCGGTCCAGAACGAATGCCCAGATTACCTACTAGAGGGAAGGCCACGTGATTCTAAGAGTATCCTGAGGTGGTGAAGAACCATGAGTGGACGTAGGGTAATGCTTGGGCGAATAAAAGTGCTGATGCCTGAACATAACGCACTGAGATGATGAAACGTTAGTGACTGCTGCCAGTGATGTTTCTGATGAAGGCATGAGAGACTGGGAGGAGGAGTGACTTATTAGTGGCTTCAACTACGAAGTTATCGCAGTGGGCGGACGCGATTCCTTCCCAAAGCCCCACGATGCAAGCTAGCTAGGGTTAGACCTCACACAAGCATAATGGGTGTGAATAAAAGAGGCCATGAACCACCTGTCCTGAAGAACCCCCCAAAACCTACGGATGCAGCATCCGTAAAATTTTTGAAGCATGGCAGGAGATAGATAATGTCGACATAGAAAAGAAATTTGTTCCAATAGAAGCAGTCAGACCAGAGATCCGAACGGCAGCCTACGTTCAGTAATCTGACCAAGAGAGGGACGGAAATGCCGGATCAAGCAACTGGGAATGAAAGCGCGGCCTTGAGAAATAAGCGCATGGCAAATTAGCTGACCTAGCAAGGAGCGCAATTGGCATATAGAAATGACTGATGGAGAACATCAGTTTTGTGTTTTTTTTTTTTTTTTTTTTTTTTGAAGAAGAAGAAGACAGAACGATAATCAGAAGTAATAATAAGGGGTGGTAAGATGACGGGCTGCTAAGACTGAGGTACGATATATATGAAGCGTGCACGGCGGGGACAGACTGATCGGATGGCCCTCCTGCAGCTCTGAGTAATCACGATAGATGCTGAATGCGGCCAAAAATTTTGGCCAATAGAAAGATCTCTGGTAGACGGAGATCGGATGATTTAAGAAAAACTGCGAAGTCACCTGCTGATGCGACCTGCTGATCGACTTCAGGGGAGGGAAGAATAAGAGACTAAATTAAAATATTCCCCTGAATAATTAGAACGAGGCCAGTGAAAATATCAGCATGTGTGTTAATATAAGTATGCCTGATAGAGGCAGACGAAGCATAAGAGCAAACTCAAATAGATAGAAAATTATGAATGAAAACATGGTTGAATACGTCTTACCCTAAGGCTGGCCCGGCGGGCGTTCCCTAATGTGAATGAGGGGAGGGGGAGGTCCGTCTGAGCAGACAGCGGCAGGGATGACGTGGCAGTGCAGGGATTCCCACGTTTGGAGCGTGCGGACAGCGTCGAAGGATTGAGTGAGAGAGTCCGGTGGAGCGGAGGGAGGCTGAGAGCTGTTAAGCGCCAGAAGGACTAGACGGGGGAGCTGCTATGAATCAGGAAGCTGGAGAAGGTCCAAGGCTGCATCGAAACGATGAGAAGGAGCGGGCGCAGCGGTGACTGCTGCTGGGACAGATCCGGGAGGCCTTCTGCGCCTGGCGAGGGGAGCGGAGGACTTGCATGTCATTTGCGGCCAGGAATCGGAGCGGATTGAAGCGGAAGGCGAGGGAGATGAATCACGAGGAGGTAGGAGGGAGGCTCGTTAAGACATCTGAGCAGAGTCTAGGTCGGAGCCTGGCAATATACCCTTGGAGTGTAACGCGGAAGAAGGAGATGAGAGCGGCTAGACGGGAGCTTCTCCGAGCGGGGAAAATTGAATTGTCGTCTGGATCGGAATCCGACATTGTGATTGCAGGATAGCGGCTGTGGTGAGATTTGAGGGAGTTTATAAAGTGGAAGCAGGACGCTGATTGGGCTTCGTGGTGGAGTAGTTCAAAGCTGATTGGCTCGCTTCGGAGACGGATCGGCTTCTGATGATGTGAGGTAAGTCAGAGTTTCTTCAATTGAACTTTCGCTAGAGCTTCATAATATAAGAATAATAAAGCAAAAATATAGAAATGTTCTGTTTATCACCCACAGCTTTGATAAGATGTGCTTGCATGTCGTAGAACACTTAATCACATTATAGATATTGTAAGAATAAAAAACAATTAATAAAGATACAAAAATAATACAGCAATGATCTTTAAAAATCCGACCTGTGCAGCCAGATGTCAGAATCTGAAAGAATCTCTGCGACGCCCACTTTCTCTCCCAGAAATTTGTAGGCTGTCTGGTCGAAGTGCCAGTACAGAATCCGACACAGTAACGGTTCCAGTAAAGCCACCTGTGTGTCAGAAAACAAACAAAAAAGTTTCTTATATAAAAACCCTGGAAAAAACTACTTATAAAATTAGCTGTGGGTTGTTCCTCACATAATTGACTGAAAACTATTTAATGAAGTTTTTTGCAGACAGTGGAACATCTTTTATAAGATCCAGTGCCCTATTTCTTACAGGTCTGATGAGCCGTTTCCCCCTTTTAGACTATAAAGGCTCCAGGAAGAGAGCTCTGGATTGAAGCATTGCAGATGATTATAACATTATTCAAAGGGGCCGATTTATCAATTTACTTTAAAAAAAAAATTGTTATTCCAAAAGGAAAATAAGACTAAATGTCTGTGACAGACAGGTGACCTGTCCAGGTTGTACTCTGCCTCTTGCCTATAGACCACCTGAGGTAGGCACCAGCCCCACCGAGACCCTGACAGAATAAGCAGGAGAAGATGGGTAGAAATGAAATGTTGTTTTAACTCAAATGTTTTTTTTTTTATTTTTTACATGTTGTTGTATATCTTGATGGCTGTAAGTAGGAAGGATCTTTTGTAGTGTTTTGCCCCCGATCTGCACAAGCCTTAGCTCAAGACACACTGTTATTGTTCCACAGTCTGATGATGAGTATGCTCAAATTTTTGCTAAATGTTTTTATTTTTATCAACAATTCTTCGTGAAATCATTCTTCAAGGTCTTAGAGGAGTTCATAGAATACATCAGCCTTCTTGATTTGCTTGCTGAGTTTGCTCTAATGCTTTTACCCTAGCAGATGATGGGAGAATAGATCATGTTCTCCACAACAGACTCATGGAATATAGTCTTGCTTCAAACACTGAAGAACCTAAGCTTCCTGAAGAGGTACAATCTGCTCTGTCCTTTCTTGTAGACAGCTTCACAGTTGGATCTCTCGTTCAGTCTTTTATCCAGGTAAACACCACAGTATTTACACTCCTTAACCACCTCCACTTCTTCTCACGTGTTGTTAATGGCTGTATTGTTCCTGTTTGTTCTTAAATCTACAATCATTTCCCTAGTTTATTTTTAATATTCAGGACCAGATGACTGGTTCCACACAATACCACAGAGGGTTCACCAGCTCTCTGTACTCAGGTTCTTGTCCATCTATCATGCACCCAATGACTGCAGAGCCATGCGAGTATTTCTTAAAATGACAGGAATGTGTCTTTTACTGGAAGTCGGAAGTGTAGAGATTAAAAAGGAATGTTGAGAGTACCATCGCTTGTGGTGAAACTGTGCTGAAATATCGTGAAGTTTAGAAGCTCCTGTATACTTCTCAATAATCTCCTGTTTTCCTTCCTGAGGGCTATTTTTTCTAGCTTAGCAGTTCCTTCAGATTACTGTAGATCCAGGGTTTATTATTAGGTTTAGCATATTACTCTTTTATGGAAATGGTGTAATCTTCACACAAGTTTATGTAGTCAGTCATACACTGCACTGATATGCCTGACATGGTGCATCCCAGTCTGTACCCAAAAAACAACGTTGCAGGGCTTCCTCATCTTTCTGTGATCATGTTTTTACAATTCTCTTTAATGCAGGTATACTTTTATATAAATTTAAACAAAAAATTAAAAGGTACTGGCAAAAAGTATTTCAGCTGCTCACCATCCAACACCAGAGTAAAAAAGATAAAATAAAATAGAAAGAAGATAATGTGATCCACAAATAGAGGAACTTAAGTTCTTTTAAAAAAAGAAACATATAATGTGACGCACAAATTTTATTCAATTAATTTTAGTTTGTTTATATAGTGCCAATCCAAAACAAATGTCTCTTCAATGCACTTTACGGAAACAATTCAATCGATTTTAGAATTTAGGATATTATGAGGAAGAAACAAATCATATTTTTATAGTAAAAAAACAAAAAAACAGCAGAGATATGTATAGATAACTTAAACTTGGAGGTAATTTTTCAGTTAGGAAAACTAAATGTTTTAATGCAAGGCTTAAATAGATCAGACAATTTTTCTTATCTATGAGTAGATTTACTCACCAAAGTGTTAATGGTTCTCTCCTTGAAGTTCATCTTGTCAGTGAGTCCAGTGAAAAATCGAGGCACATAGGATGGTGGGGCAGGGCAGCCTGCAGCTTTCAGGTCCATAAAACAGGGGATCCCCCTCAGTAAGTTAATAACAGGGACACCTGCAAGAGATTTAGCACATTCTTCTTAGCTGCTTGGTTCTCATAAGAAAATAGTACTTTTTTTAAATTATTTTTAAGTAAGCATCCCCTAACTCTTTCATATTAGCATAAAGTGATCTTAAAGTCAAAAACAAAAATGAGGTGTACAAGCATGATACTTTAGAGCAAAGGAGCGCTTTGGTTGGATCTGCATGGAAACTGAATCAGACAACACTGAACTGGACTCTACGGAAGAGGATTAGGGCCACTGGAAAAAAAAAATAGTTAACTGATTTTTAAATTTTATTTCAGTTTAACATGGGAAAAAAAGTCAGAAATCTGACTTTTTTCTCAGAATTCTGACTTTAATCTCAGAATTCTGACTTTAGTCTCAGAATTCTGACTTTTTTCTCAGAATTCTAAATTTTTTTCAGAATTTTGACTTTATTCTCAGAATTCTGACTTTTTTTCCAGAATTCTGACTTTAATCTCAGAATTCTGACTTTTTTTTTCAGAATTCTGACAATAATCACAGAATTCTGACTTTTTTCTCAGAATTCTGATTTTTTTTTCTCAGAATTCTGACTTTTTTCTCAGAATTCTGACTTTTTTTCAGAATTCTGACTTTAATCTCAGAATTCTGACTTTAGTCTCAGAATTCTGACTTTAATCTCAGAATTCTGACTTTTTTTTCAGAATTCTGACAATAATCACAGAATTCTGACTTTTTTCTCATAATTCTGACTTTAATCTCAGAATTCTGACTTTTTTTTTCAGAATTCTGACTTTAATCACAGAATTCTGACTTTTTTCTCAGAATTCTGACTTTGTTCTCAGAATTCTGATTTTTTTTTCTCAGAATTCTGACTTTTTTCTCAGAATTCTGACTTTTTTTCAGAATTCTGACTTTAATCTCAGAATTCTGACTTTAGTCTCAGAATTCTGACTTTAATCTCAGAATTCTGACTTTTTTTTTCAGAATTCTGACAATAATCACAGAATTCTGACTTTTTTCTCATAATTCTGACTTTAATCACAGAATTCTGACTTTAATCACAGAATTCTGACTTTTTTCTCAGAATTCTGACTTTAATCTCAGAATTCTGACTTTTTTCTCAGAATTCTGACAATAATCACAGAATTCTGACTTTTTTCTCAGAATTCTTACTTTTTTCTCAGAATTCTGACTTTTTTCTCAGAATTCTTACTTTTTTTCAGAATTCTGACTTTAATCTCAGAATTCTGACTTTTTTTCCAGAATTCTGACTTTAATCTCAGAATTCTGACTTTTTTTTCAGAATTCTGACAATAATCACAGAATTCTGACTTTTTTCTCAGAATTCTGACTTTGTTCTCAGAATTCTGATTTTTTTTTCTCAGAATTCTGACTTTTTTCTCAGAATTCTGACTTTTTTTCAGAATTCTGACTTTAATCTCAGAATTCTGACTTTTTTTTCAGAATTCTGACAATAATCACAGAATTCTGACTTTTTTCTCATAATTCTGACTTTAATCACAGAATTCTGACTTTTTTCTCAGAATTCTTACTTTTTTCTCAGAATTCTGACTTTTTTCTCAGAATTCTTACTTTTTTTCAGAATTCTGACTTTAATCTCAGAATTCTGACTTTAGTCTCAGAATTCTGACTTTAATCTCAGAATTCTGACCTTTTTTTCAGAATTCTGACAATAATCACAGAATTCTGACTTTTTTCTCAGAATTCTGATTTTTTTTTTTCTCAGAATTCTGACTTTTTTCAGAATTCTGACTTTAATCTCAGAATTCTGACTTTTTTTCAGAATTCTGACTTTAATGTCAGAATTCTGACTTTAGTCTCAGAATTCTGACTTTAATCTCAGAATTCTGACTTTTTTCTCAGAATTCTGACAATAATCAAAGAATTCTGACTTTTTTCTCAGAATTCTGATTTTTTTTTCCTCAGAATTCTGATTTTTTTTTTCTCAGAATTCTGATTTTTTTTTCTCAGAATTCTGACTTTTTTTATCAGAATTGTGACTTTTTTTTCTAAGAATTCTGACTTTAATCTCAGAATTCTGACTTTAATCTCAGAATTTTGGATCTTAATGTAGGTTGGCACCATGAAGGAAGAGATGTGGGGCACTCAGCTTCACTGACAAAATGTGAGTTGTTTGAGAGGGCCAGTGACAAATTGGCGGAAAATGATGGAATTAGGCAACTTTTTACGTGCCCAAGGGGTCCCCTCATTAATGGAGGAGCAGAAGGTCATTAAAACAAGAGAGCTAGTCTCTAAAACAGACATGGCTATGGCTTGATGCTAACATGTTTGTTAGCTGTCAGAATTCTGAGAAAAAATTCAGAATTCTGAGATTAAAGTCAGAAAAAAGTGAGAATTCTGATTTTCTTCCCATATTAAACTGAAATAAAATTTAAAAATCTGTTAACTTTTTTTTCAGTGGCCCTAATCCTCTTCCGTAGGATTCTGCAGAATACAGCTAGTGGGGAATGATGTCAACTATGAGACAAACAGAGTGCCAGATCTATCAAAGGTTTGCGTGTATTAAAACATGAGCTATTTCACTGCGCACGCTAAAAAATGTACAAACTGATCTATCAACAGCGTGCTAAAAGGATTTGGTCTTTAAAACGTGCTAAATAGCGCCTCTTATCCATTTAGTACTTTTTCTGCAATGAATATGCAATATGGGACGTTTACACGGTAAAGTGCGTCTTGTGGGAGGAGAACATGTAAATATATTAATTTAGCACTCGCAAAGTGATTTATCAAACTTGAGCGCAATTTTGCTAACGGTATCTGACTCTATATTTAACACGTTTCAAAAGAAGGTGCAAATGGTCTGTATGCGTAATTGCGCACACATGGCAGCGGTTATTGTCGCAAGAAGGAGACATGGAAATAAAGCAAGGAGATGCAGAGAACGCATTTTTTCACTCCGTGTGAATATTTTTGCAATGAACGAGGAAACGATCATCAAAACATATCGTTTATCCAGCATTGCCATTTTGGAGCTGTTGGGGGAACTCCGAATGGATTTGGAGCCAGCCACAAGGAGGACCCACGCAATACCAGATATCACAAAACTCCTTGCAACATTGCACTTTTTTGCATCTGGGTCATTCCAGCGTACGGTTGCAGCGAGAGCTGGGATCTCCCAATCTAGTTTTTTCAGAAGTGCTGTCCGACGGGGTCGGGGTTCTCCCCCTGCGCCTGTGGAGCAACGTGCCAAATGCTGCGGGGATCTCATCCACAGTCACAGGCAATACATAACACCTGTTTTTTTTTTTGTTTTTTTTACTGCAGCACATACCACCTTAGGGAATAAAGGTTGCCAATTTATAAAATATATATATATATATATATATATATATATATATATATATATATATATATATATATATATATATATATATATATATATATATATATATATATATATATATATATATATATATATATATATATTTACTTATTTATTTTTTTGTTGGGGGTCACTGTAAGATTTAAATTTCTTAATGCACTAGTTTGTACAGACTACAAACTACTTTGCCGCAAACCACAAAACGCGCAAAACCATCATTTAAATAGGGCGTCTCCAACAGTTTTGCACCTTCCACCAGTTACGCAATCGCTCTTGTTAAATCACCCGCAAACCATGGTTCAGCCCCTCGCGCAAAATTCCAGTTTGCGAGCGCAAATTACTGCACGCAAAATTAGATCTTGATAAAACCGGCCCAGAGAGTTATAATGAAATTCTTGAAAGATGTTGAAGGTTTCTGTGTATTAGACTTCTATCTCTGTGGTTTAATTTTTCTCTAAATCTGGTTTCATTGAAAGCATGGTACTTATTATGGCACTTAAAAAAATTAAAAAATATGTGGTCCACTGCACAGGAAAGCAAACATGCAAATGTAATCTAAAAGAGAGGAAACTCACCAAGTTTCCGAGCAATGAATGAACCTGTTGGGACCATTGGATCTGTGAGGACCGCATCAAACTTCTATGAGACAAAATGAGGGGGATGACTGCAGCTCTACCATTTATTTCTGTTTGACCAGCCATGACATCATTTCTTGATTAAATGAATGTTTGTTTAAGTTTGTAGTAAAAAGCATTGTCCAAACAAAAAAGGAATACACACTAAAATTGATCAACAGCATAATGTACAATACTTGAGATTTGATTTGTAGAAAAGGAAAAAAACTACATGATATATAATTTGCTTCCTTCCTTCTACTACTTTTTTATAGATCTTATCAATATGGTCAATATATAGGTCAATAGGCTTTGATAAATCCAAGCCACTATGAAATCTGTTTTTTTTAGGAAAGTTCCAATCTGTTTTAAATTGGCAAAGAGTATTTTAGGCTTAATCTATTGTTTAAAATGAATTATGAAAATACAGCAAACCGGTAGAAATAATTATTGAAAATATTTGAGTAAAAAACAATTCATGCAACAAATGTGAATAAAACGTACCTATAGGTTCCCATGTTCTGTTTTCACCCACCTGCTCTGCTAGATGATGAATGAGGCTGGTGTTGAACAGCAGACTCTCTGCAGTGGTATGAAGAAAATTGCTGGTTTTTCCAATCTGGGTGAATCTTGCCTTTATTTTCTCCATGAACGGCTGTACTGATTTTTCTAAGACATCCTTGTGTGAAGACAGCAAATTAATAACATGTTCCTTATCATAAGGAACCGGATAGAAGATGGTATCGTAGTATTTCCCTGGACCCATCCGTAGGTTGTGCTCAGGAATCACAACAGTGACCCTGTGGCCGCGTCGACCCAATTCTTGTGCAAGCGCTTTTATACCCACCCAATGACTCCCATCCATGGGTATCACCAGCAGGTTACCTAAAAACTTTGGTGAAGAGCTGCTTTTCACAGCAGCGTTGGTATCTTTAACTTTGTCTGGCTTAACAAGCTTGGGGGTTTCTGCAGAGTCCTTTACTTTTTTTGCAGCCGCTCGGTCCTCTAAAGCCATGCTCAGAATGAATAACACCAACACAACCGATTGCCGCATCCCTCTTCCTTCCTTCTCCAATGCAATGAGAACAATTGTTAAAAAAATAGATCTGAAAATCCTTCTTTCCTCTGCACTAAAAAAGCAAGAGTAAAGCTGTTGGTCCTAAAGCTGCTGAAGCTCCTCTATAAATTAGAGTTGTGTACGTTCAAAGTCCTCAAATGAAAGTAGAGCACTATCTGTCCTCAGTAGGTAAAGGTCAGGAGCCTGTGTTCTTTAGTTACTAAGTAATTAGAATAAGTATCCGCCGCTTACAAAGAAACTAAACAAAAGGCTGCTATCTATGTTTGAAATGAACAACTGAGGTAAAGTTCAGTGGGTTCAGGAGTGTTTGCACAAACAAAAGTAATCCCAGTCAGGAAGTCGTGGTGGAATTTGCAGTATGATACGGTGCCAAATAAGACTTTTTCTCATTTTTTCCTGCATGTCAGCAGAAAACATGTTTGCTGTAGGGGAGTTTATTCATAGGAGCTGCCTGATTATTTGTTTGTATATTATTTTATTTCTGTGCTGATGAGATTTTGTTGATTTCGATGAATCATTATATTTGTTTCCTTGTCTTATCAATGAAAATAAATAAATGAACAAGTGGAAAATCTAAGAAAAATATTGGTTTTAGTTTTTTCATTTAGAAAATATAAATGCGATTGTTCATATTAACACTATGTCTGCTGACAGACTGCTAACTCAGTAGCATTAATTAAAGTAGCTTAAGATACAGCAATACAATGGATGACAGGAAATTAGTTCAATTGTATGTTTTTTGATTGCCGATATAAAATTGAAAAGATCTAGTGTTATGAAAATAACACATTCATAAACAAAAATGTACCTTAATAATAAATATCATTATGCTCAAGTAACTATGGTATTTAAAAGGGTAACTATGTTGCACCACAACCGTCTGTGATAAATACTAACTGTAGAAAAAGTCCTTATTTCATGCATAAAACTAAGTCTAAAATGCAAATGATTTAATATTGTTCTGTTAAAAGTCTACAATTATTCCTGGAAATAGTTAAAATTGGACTGCTGGGAAGAACATGATAGAAATACAAATGTGCTATGTTGCTAAATTATAAAGGTATATTTACTTTTTTTTTTTGTATGTTAGCAATAAAACCTGGGATAAAAGTAGATTGAAATTGTTTCCAAATCTTATTAAAACATTACTCATATTTTTTTTCCAGGCCCAGCATGCATTTTAAAATTTTAGATATAATCTTTAAATAACAACTAAATTACAGTTTCTACAAAATATTTTTATAATCCCAGCATTTCCCTCTTTTCTGTCCATTTTATAAATATTTATTCATTCATTCATTTAGAATATGTAAATTCCCTTTCACTATGTATTAACACCTTTAATAGTAGTTCTCTAAAGGAAGACATGAAAAATTAGCACTTTCTCTTTATTAACAAAAACTAAACTTCTCTTGTTGTAGCAGAGTTACCCATGATATCCACTGAAATTTTAGGACTTAATAACACAAATAACTCAGAAAAACTGCAAGACATATTGCCATTACAGTTCAGAACTTTGTTTAAAATATATAAACTAAATATAGGCATATATAGTTAAATAGTAAAACAAAATATTAAAAGGAACTAGAGAAAATATATTTCTATATAAATACAAGGAAATACACTATATTGCCAAAAGTATTTGCTCACCCATCCAAATTATTGGAATCAGGTGTTCCAATCACTTCCATGGCCACAGGTGTATAAATTCAAGCACCTAGGCATGCAGACTGTTTTTACAAACATTTGTGAAAGAATGGGTCGCTCTCAGGAGCTCAGTGAATTCCAGCGTGGAACTGTGATAGGATGCCACCTGTGCAACAAATCCAGTCGTGAAATTTCCTCGCTCCTAAATATTCCACAGTCAACTGTCAGCTGTATTATAAGAAAATGGAAGTGTTTGGGAACGACAGCAACTCAGCCACGAAGTGGTAGGCCACGTAAACTGACGGAGCGGGGTCAGCGGATGCTGAAGCGCATAGTGCGAAGAGGTCGCCAACTTTCTGCAGAGTCAATCACTACAGACCTCCAAACTTCATGTGGCCTTCAGATTAGCTCAAGAACAGTGCGCAGAGAGCTTCATGGAATGGGTTTCCATGGTCGAGCAGCTGCATCCAAGCCATACATCACCAAGTGCAATGCAAAGCGTCGGATGCGGTGGTGTAAAGCACGCCGCCACTGGACTCTAGAGCAGTGGAGACGCGTTCTCTGGAGTGACGAATCGCGCTTCTCCATCTGGCAATCTGATGGACGGGTCTGGGTTTGGCGGTTGCCAGGAGAACGGTACTTGTCTGACTGCATTGTGCCAAGTGTAAAGTTTGGTGAAGGGGGGATTATGGTGTGGGGTTGTTTTTCAGGAGCTGGGCTTGGCCCCTTAGTTCCAAGGAAAGGAACTCTGAATGCTTCAGCATACCAAGACATTTTGGACAATTCCATGCTCCCAACTTTGTGGGAACAGTTTGGAGCTGGCCCCTTCCTCTTCCAACATGACTGTGCACCAGTGCACAAAGCAAGGTCCATAAAGACATGGATGACAGAGTCTGGTGTGGATGAACTTGACTGGCCTGCACAGAGTCCTGACCTCAACCCGATAGAACACCTTTGGGATGAATTAGAGCGGAGACTGAGAGCCAGGCCTTCTCGTCCAACATCAGTGTGCGACCTCACAAATGCGCTTCTGGAAGAATGGTCAAAAATTCCCATAAACACACTCCTAAACCTTGTGGACAGCCTTCCCAGAAGAGTTGAAGCTGTTCTAGCTGCAAAGGGTGGACCGACGTCATATTGAACCCTATGGATTAGGAACGGGATGTCACTTAAGCTCATATGTGAGTCAAGGCAGGTGAGCAAATACTTTTGGCAATATAGTGTATCTACATTCTAATAGGATGCACTGAAATAGTGGAATCTCTAACGATGGTTTATGTGTTTTCATCCGGGTTATCTAAATATCTATGATAAAATAATGAAATATTAGTTCTAGATATAGTTTAGTGATGCCTTTGGTAGAGATAAAAAAATGTTTTTGTGCTACCTCTATGGAGCTGAAAGGAATAAAATCCTAAAAGATAAAAAAAAGGCATTTTCACACTCAGCTGATGGTGTTCAAATATATACTGTTCCTTAGTTGCTAGAGCAGGAAAAGCAGGTACAGCAAATGTTTAGAGAGGAAGGAGCGCAGCTGGAGGAGAAGGGTTTGTTAGAGGTTAGCATGCTCCAGATATATACTGAATGACTTTTTAGTAATTACACTAAATATAAAGTAATTTTAGTGTTTTAACCATAATCTGACAACAAAAAAGGTATAGATTTTTTTCCCACATCAATATATTAACATTCGAGAGGACAAATACAGAAAAACTGCTCTTTTCAGAGCCAGTCTTTGTGTTTTTTTGGAAAGGATAAAGAGGTAAGTCACTTATATAACAGCCAGACCTGTTTAATGTAGATATTTATGAGTGTCTATATTAATAACATTCAAAACTATATATAAGCTACAGTGCATGATTTTAATAAAAATATAGGAAAGAAATGCCCTAGTCATGTTTTGAGCAACTGCACTTGTGCAAATATGTGAATATAAAATAGTTGCAACTCTTGGCCTTTTTCAAAGTATACGGTGGGAGCAGCAGAGCTATAATGAATGGCTAAAACCAAACTCAATGAATAAATTAACACTAGAAATGCGCACAAAGAGCATGATCATTGGTGTTACATGAGCACATCACCGAAACTGGCATGTAGGACAACCAATCGATCAAAGCCGAACAATTGTCCACAAAACCTTTAATAAAGCCGGCATGCATGTGTTAATATCTGCAAATGTAGCGAGGGCTTCTGGACAAACTTCACAGATTTATTTGGATCTTAAATCTTCAGAGATAAATATGTCTTTCCATTAGTAACTGTGCATGGATGTTTGTGGCACAAAATGTTCAGCACATTGTAGCAGACAGCAGCTACAATGTGCGGAACCGTATTCTGTGACCCTTCATGGCCCAAGAGGTCACTATGAATACACTTGACTTCAGTTTAAGTAAGGGTTTTGTGATGTTAGGTTTAGAAATTCCAGTTAGGGTTTGTTGATAGACTGGTGAGGACAATCACAAACAAAAGCCCCTTGGGTCACGCAGTATTTGATGGTGCAGAAAATATTGTGGGACAATAAAGAAACGTTCTATTCTTTTCTAATATGGTGTAACACCTGTTCTACAGACTGCAAGACCTGTCCAGCTTACTCAAACTTCTGATTAAACCAGGATGAGTGGCAAGAGATTCGATTAAAAAATAATAGGATAAATTGCTGAGTTCTCTGTTTGCTCTCAGGATTAACTATTAATTAATGTGTCAGAGGGCACTATATCAAGTTTACACTTCCACACACCTATATTCTTAAATATGGTAATCAAGGATTTTACATACTATAACAGCATATTGAATTTAGATTTAGCCCAAAATCGTTGTGTTGAAACATAACTTGTGTGTGAAGCAGAAGATTGAATCTTAAAAGTTAAAGTAAAAAAGTAGCTGCTCAACCACAACTGCTGCTTATCTTATCAAGGCTATACTTTAAAACATGAAATTGTCCAGAGAGCTGTTCTAAATGTTCTGTCTAAGTCTAAGTTCAAATGATTTGTAGAAAATTTGTAGAAAATGTTATGCATTCGGTAGAGGCAAAATATAGGACAGCTGAAACGTAACCCATCAGTTATTACTTAGACTTAGACAGATTTTATTTATCATTTTGTTTACACAAGTGTAAAACAAAAAGAAATTTCATTTGGAACAGCTCTCTGGACCATTTCATCTTTTTTTAAAGTGAAGCCTTGAAAAAATAAATAAAATAAAAACAGTAATATAAACCTATGACTGTAAATTTATAGTTCTAACTTTTTTTTAAGAGCAGACAATGTGAATAAAAGAAAAATAAAATATATTTAACCCTCAAAAAAAAGAAACAATTACTACACAGTTACTCTTCTTGGCCAGCTGGTGGCGGTGTAGCGAAAGTTTGGATGAAGCGGAACTCTGTTTAGCTTCATGTGATTGGCTCTTCATCGTGACGTCAAGCACCGCCTCCCGCTGCACGCTCAGCTTTGAATGAAGGAAAAAAAAAAGGCTTTGAATTAAAATGTCCGCGGGGTTATTTTGCTCTACATTTAGCGGATAATTGAACCAGTTGGGAATATGTCTGGAGATGGAAACCGTCTGAGAAATGAATCGACTCGAGTATTTAATCTGACCGCTGGTCAGTAGAGAATAGCGACCTTTGAGCTTTTGGTTGTTGCTGTTTGTTTTTAGCTTAGCCTAGCATAACTTAGCATGCTCGTGCTAACTGTAGCTAAAGTAAAAGTGCACAATTTTTTTATTGGTGTTGAACTTTTGTGATAAAGAC